CAGCGATCGTTAACAAACGAGATTCTACGAATTCTACATGGTGGCTCATTCGATTTAACCGCTGTTCCCAGGTATTAATTCCAAAATAGTCTGGGTGAAATATGTGACAATAACCACTATTTAGGCGTGCCATTCGTCTGTGTGTAATTTCCAAAAGTGCACAGTTCCAGCGCAGGCATGATGTGCATTTTTGCCCGTCATGCACGTCGTCAGCGCGCCCGGTCGCCGGCGGACTCGCGAATTTGCACGTCTGCGTCCCTGGTATCTGCGTCACTGGTACCGCGTCACTGATATACTGCTACTGGTATCTGCGTCACTGGTAACGAGTCACTGATACAATTCCACTTGACATGGTACCGCGTCACTGGTACCGCGTTGTTGTCTCTGTCGCTCCGCCGAGTTGTCTCTGCTCCTCCGGTAATGGGACGGCGTGCGTTGCAGATTCGGCGGTGAGCGCGCGGTGTGAATGCCGCGCCGCGTATTATTCACAGCGCTGCACTAAGTGGCGTGCAGAGGGTCTGTTTGCCATGCAAAACGCTCGAGCGCACGCCTCGCCATGAGCCCGCCGAAACGGCAGCATATCCTGTAGAATTAGGCCGAAGTGCGATGACTTCCGATAAGCCTGAAGCGGTTTCGTTTCCGTTTCTCTGAGTTAAGCCATCTGATTTGGCGCCGTTCCGTGTGGCCTGGACGGCCCGTGCCGTTGTAACTGTGCTGGGCCGGGGGGGGGGGGGGGGGCGGCCCGTGCCGTTGCAACTGTGCGGTGGGGTGGTCGGTCCGTGCCCCGTGCCGAGGTATACCACCGCCGCCACTGCCGGCCGCCCCTGACGCGCCGCCGGACCGGACCGCGGCCGGCCGCTCCCGGCGCGCCGCCGGACCGGGCCACTGCCGCGGCCGCTCCCGGCGCGCCGCTGCGCCCCGAGTCTGCACGGCGCCACGGCACACGCAACAGCGGCGGCGCTGACTCTGCCGGACGGCGGATTAGCGGCCGTGACGTCTGGCGACGTCAGCGGTGACGTCGGAGGGTGACTGGCCGCCGTGTCGGTGACGGGGCCCCCGGCCCCGCGCGCCGTCTCCGAGTAGTGCGCCGTCGACCGGGAGAAATCGGCTGATTACGAGCGGCGCCGGGTCGCTCCTGAGCGCCGCCGGGTCGCTCCTGAGCGGCGCCGGGTCGCTCCTGAGCGCCGCCGCTGGCCGGCTCAGTGGCGAGACATTCCGGGAACTCATACTGCGCGACCAGGCCGACCGGCAGCGCGCGCCCCGCCGCTCCGGCCCACCGGCTTTATTGCATTCTTGGCGACAGGAATGGCTACTCGCATTCCTTCGACTGCAGACGAGCGTAAAGGGGATCCGAGTAAAAAAGGCGGCGCTCTGCGCGATCGGCTGGCTGCGGAGGACGCTATTCAGTGATCCCCATATGGCAGTAGGTGCCGGTCGGTGATAAGGTCCAGGCGGAGCAGTGGAGCCGGGTGCGGCGGAACGGCGGCGGTCCCCGATCGATCGCGCTGTGCACGCCTGTCCGGCGCTCTCCCAAAGTACCATGGTATTGCATGATCGCCGCCCGCGCTGCAGCGACTCGCCGTGTTTTCCAGCCCGTCCATCATATTACGTGAATGCTGCAATGGAGAGAAAGGAGGAAACTGGCCCGTGCAGTCACGCAAAACTTTTGTCTCTGTGCGTAGTCCCTTTCCCAGAGGCCCGAGCTGATCAGGCAGCTGGCAGGCGGTGACTGATGTACTGCGCGTCTGTTGTGCCGCCGCTGATATGGTCTCTGTCGCTGCCATGTCGCCGCTAAGATGGTCTCTGTCGCCGCTCAGATGGTCTCCGTCGCCGCTCAAATGGTCTCTGTCGCCGCTGAGATGGTCTCTGTCGCCGCTGAGATGGTCTCTGTCGCCGCTGAGATGGTCTCTGTCGCCGCTCAGATGGTCTCCGTCGCCGCGCCACTAGTCTTGTCGGCCGCGCCACTAGTCGCGCCGGCCGCGCCGTTACAACACCGGCCGGTCACGGAGCGTCACCGGTGCGTCACCACCGTCACCGGCGCGTCACGAATGTCGGCGCGGCGCCGGCGGCTGGTCGACCCGCCGCTCCACTGACTGGGCCTGTCGAACTGTCTGGGTGAGGGGTCCGGTGAACCTGACCGCCCCGTCAGGACGAGCTGTAATGGGCCCGGTGAGCCCACCCAACACCACCGTACCGGAGAGCCTCCAGCTGCGGACTGAGATGTAGTGACTGCAACACACCGGGACGGGAGGATGCCATTGAATAAGTGGAAATGACAACTGGCTACTGCACCTGGTTCCTGGCTGGTCGGTGGTCGCTGCTCATCATTGCCTCGCAAGAGTATTTGAAGTGCGAAATCCCTCCCGATCGGGGGCGACACACATTGGCGCCTAGAGTCGGCCCCCGAGGAGGCGGCAGGGAGGTCACCGTCCCACCGTCACCAGTCCTGCCCGTCCCGCCGTCACCAGTCCTGCCCGTCCCGCCGTCACCAGTCCTGCCCGTCCCGCCGTCACCAGCCCGCCGTCACCGTCCCGCCGGCGCGGTGGCGTGCCGGGCCGATCAATGCGCCGGCGCGCCCGTGACGACCGGCCGCCCATAAAGCCGGCCGGCCGCCCGTTACGGCCGCTTTACGAGTGCGCGCCACTCGTCGGCCCGGCGCCGATGACACCTTAATGACACCGGCTACAAATTCGGCCAATTACGGCGCATCTGGGCGCCGTCGGTGTCGACGGGCGCCGTGTCGGCGCCGACACGCCCCGACAGCCGCGGCGCGTGCACACACACACCCGGCGAATATTTGATTCGTCGCACCTGGCGGGCCACTTTGGACCGTCATCAGGCTTTGGACGGCAGTGCTGGCGTCCATGCCGCCGGGTCGCCTCCAGCTCACACCCCGCCGGTAGTCGCCACCGACGGCTGGCGGCGGCGACAGTCCCCTACCTGGGGCGGCGGCGACCTCCCTGCCCCCTCCCCGGGCGGCGGCGGTGACGGCGGGACGAGCAGGGCCTGGAGGCGCCGCCACCGCTGTGACGGCCCCGTCATTGCCACTGGCCGCTGCTGAAACGTGGTTACGCTGCCAACGGCACAGCCTGAATGTGATAGTTCCGACTACTTCGCCATAAAGCTGCAACGATAAGTTTTGCGCCGTAGGAGCATTTTCTGGGGTGCAACTCCTGGGTAAGACGTGTGTTGACTAACTCGGCAGAGCCGCGTTCACAGTGGTACTGCGGGTGGTCGCGTGATCCGGCGGTAGCTACTTAGCAGCTTAGACGAGCGCTCCGAGTATGACTGACGCCGCCGCTGGTCAGCGCGGCTTTCCCACGGGTGGCGGCGCCGGCGGCACAGGCACACCCAGTCACAGCGCAGTCGCACCCCGTCACAGCACAATCACACCCCGTCACAACGGCACTACTACCCCGTCACAGCACAGAAACACCCCGTCACAACACAATGACACCCTGTCACAACACAGCCACCCCGTCACAGCAGATTAACACCCCGTCACAACACAGTAACACCCCGCCACACTCCGCCACAATCCGTCACAGCAGAGTAACACCCTATCAGCACAGTAACACTCCGTCACGGTGGCAGTGCCGTCAGTAACATACCGTTCAAAGTTCAGACCTGTTCCCCCGCGCCGCAAGTGTATCCCACGCGCTGCCAAACGCCGGCTTCAATCCGTCTAGGAAATGTTGCATAAGAATAAAGTGATTAATACCATGGTTAATTACAAGCGCATGTGTAGTGAAAACCAGCACAGTGATGATGAAATCGTCATGACATTTTAATCCTTGCTACAAAATACCGGAGTGAGCACTAACTTCCTTAAATAACAAGAAGACAAGCGTGACATAGAACAGTTACGGAAAGTCCGCGGCTTTGTACTTGCTTTAAACAGCTTTATTTAAGTAAATTTCGAGTGATCGAGTGAGTGAACTGATTAGTAAGCTATCAGTGATTAGCCCCAGGTGTCTGGTAAGGAGAACGGACGGCTCCGAGTATTGCCGACTCGCCCGACGCGAATGTTACCGCTATAGGCCAGTTATGACTACACGCCCCTGCCTGTCGTACACGTGTGAAATTGTGGTTTGCAATTTTACGGCCGCGAATAGCCGAAGCGTGGCCCTTCGTGTCGCTATTTGCCGGCGGTTTGTTGTGTTACGACGGCTGGATATGCAAGCTATGCCGATTTTTCAGTCATGCTCTGCGTTAACTTGACGGCAAATTCTGCTGTCCTGGTCTGTGGCTGAGTGACCAATAGGTACCGCTTATCGAAGAGCGTATTTCGTTGATTGCCGATGGAGGTAGATAAGGTAAATTCACACAGTTATCAGTGATAGCAGGACAGCTGACAGGGCATTTTATCACTGTGAGCGCAGTAGCAGTTTTGTCTGTCGCTTCTGCCGAGCCGTTCGTGAGGTCAGTTGCGCGCTGTCCGCGGACGGAAGGGGTGTGCGGCCACGGAAGCCGTTGCACCGCCAATTCCGTCACTGGTCCCGTCCGTCACTGGTCCCGTCCGTCCGTCCATCCGTCACTGGTCCCGTCCGTCACTGGTCCCGTCCGTCCGTCCGTCCGTCCGTCACTGGTCCCGTCCGTCCGTCCGTCACTGGTCCCGTCCGTCACTGGCCCCGTCCGTCACTGGTCCCGTCCGTCCGTCACTGGTCCCGTCCGTCGTTCACCGTCACACCGAGCGACGGCCGGCGCCGCGCTAATCCCCGGTGAGCGCCGTGCGCCGCCGAGGGAGACCACCTTCCACCGCCACCGGGCCGGTGCGCCGCGGCCGCGCTGACCCGACCTCGAGCACCCGGAGCGGACCGGCCCTGTGTCAGTCTGGGGTGACCCGGCTTATCAGCCTCTGCGGCCCCGTCTATGTTGTTGCCCCATGCGTACTACACGCCAGCCGTGCTGATTGTCCATCGGATCTGCCCCGTCGTGACCTGCGCGGCGCTGACCCCGACTGACCTGTGAGTTGTGACCTCTGGCTCTCCTACCGGCAGGTCCACCTCACCTCCAAGAGCATCATCCTGAACGGCGTGTGCGTCAGGTGGCGGGGCGTCTTCAACCTGGAGAGCCTGAACGGCACCGGCTCCATCGAGTTTGACGACGAGATGGCCCAGGTGGGTGCCTACCGGGTCACCGGGCGGGTCACCGGGCAGAACCCAGGGGTAAGGGGGCCACCGGGTCAACGGGCAGAGCCCAGGGGTAACGGTACCACCGGACAGAACGCAGGGTCACCCACCGGATCCCCGGACAGAACCCGCGGTCACCGGGCAGAGCGTGAGGTCACCGGACAGAGCATGAGGTCACTAGACAGAACGTGAGGTCACTACATAGACAGAACATGATCTCACCGGATAGAACCCAGAGTGTTCGTATACCGGAATGTTTGCATACATCGAGACATCTTATTGAAGTCTTTTTGAGAAGTACATCTTTGTAATCAAGCTTACTTGCAAGCGTACTTCCGTTGGATTGCAGCTATCATGCTTATTTTAGCCTTCTTGACTCCAAATTGCATACATGTGCCATTCTAAAGCCCTGAAGACCATGGGCTAGTCTCCCTGTCTTCTTGTCTTACCTCTAATATGACATTTGGCCTGATGTCTGACCTGTGGCATTTAACCGGATCCCCTACTTCAAATTGACATCTATGACCTCCAGTATAGATTCTTACCAGACATCTGACCCATTACCTGACCTCTGACCTGTGACCTGACTTTCAGGAGGAGGATAACCGTCTGAGGCAGCAGATGGAGTACTATAATCAGAGGATACGCGACTTCAATGACCGACAGAAGTACAAACGAGAGGCCGACTGACCGGGTAGGTAAGCAAACCACAAGACCATCTGTGAACCGTGAAACTGGGAGTGTGCAGTCGCAGTACCACCGCTGCAAAGCGACGCACTGCGTTGGAGAGACCAGAGCGTTTGCTGACATGTTTACTTTACTGACGGTGTGAGGTTCTCTAGTGCAGTGCTGCGAAGATTTGTGCTTTTATCCGCCGTGCTGCCGAGGCCGGATGGGACGCCCCCGCGGCCGCGGCGGGGCACCGGCATTTATCGGAGCCGGGGTTTCTGCGACGGGTGGCTGCGATTACCCTCTGTGCTGGAGCCGCCGGCGGCTCGCTCTCGGCCGGCGAATCTCCATATATTACCGGCGGGATCTCTCACCTTTAATTAAATGTAATTGCTCTAATGAAACTTTAATGGGGGCGGCGGCGCGGAATAATGCTGTGACCCGGTGACAATGAAGCCGTTTTCTCCGCGCTGCAGTTAACGACAGCGTCATTAGTCAGTAACGCTGACATGACCCGGCCGTTCCCGCCACTTTAGCGTCGCTTAACATGAGACCAGGGACGTGGCAGTTTGCCAGTGAACCGTTTTATTTAGCTTTATAATATCGCAGCCGTGACCCCGCACTGGTGACTGGCCCTGTCGCGATAGCTCAGCTAGCAGCTCGTAACCTGCCCGGGACCTGTCATGTGAGCCTGTGAGCCAGTCCAAGTGGAGTCGCTGAGAAGAGTCGGTTTCATCGATCGGACTCCGATCGACGCTCAGCGCTTCCGCGACCACTGGCTGGTCTGAGTTCCGCGGGGCTCAGGCAGAATGTGCTGGTAGAGATGCCTCTGGAGGCCCGGCCTCAGATTTCCTGCTGCCTCTGCGGCCACTAATGACATGGCCTGCATGACAGGTGGAGAGCCGACTTTGAGAATATTTGGCGAGCGCTCAGATAAGGTCAGAACATGCGAAAAACGAACGGACGCCCCGTCGAGGCCACGGCCGGTGACCCTGACGGTGCGGCGCGGAGCCGGCCGGGCCTCGCAGACGGCCCCGCTCGGCAGTTACCGAGTGGGAAAACTGCTGTCAGAGTGGCCGGTCCGCCGCTCCGAGTGCCTCTGCCGGCCTCGGCGGGGCTGCTGCTCCCGCTGCCGCTCCAGCTGCCGCTCCTGCGGCGGGGCGGCGGTTGGGATAGGTCGTGACCGGGGCGGCCGCGGCGCCTGTAGTCGGTACGTGCCGTCGGCCGGCGGCTGCCGACCGCTGACCGCAGCGGTCACACGGCTGGCCTCTGATCTGCCGGCCGGTCGGACAGCTGCCCTCCGATCTGCCGGCGGCCGCTGACCCGCGCGGGGCGGCCGCGGTCAGCGCCGGCTGCCCCCCGGTCTGTGACCCGGCCTGTGACCGCGGCAGACCGCGCCGTGTGGTCCGCTCGCCACCGAGCCGTACAATTACACCTGGCCGCAGAGCGCTGCAAAAACTTTATGGTCAAATAAGACATACATGATTGGGGTAATTTTACGGTCATTATACGCGCCGGTTTAAGGAGGGCCGCTGTAAAACAAAGGCGCCGCCGATCGACGTGTCGCCTCGGTGGCTGTCTGCCGGGCGCGGCACTGGCACTGCTGCGGCGGCGCCGTGAGCAGCCACAGCCGCCCGCCCCGGGTCTGAGTGCCTGCCGCTGCCGTGTGTGTACGGACTGTCGGGCTGAGCCGCGCCCGGGGCCGCCGCCGCCCCGGGCCAGGTCTCACTGGTGGCGCCGGCGAGCTGATGAGTTAACACTGACGGCGCCGCTAATTGCCGCTAATAGCGGCCGCCGGTGCCCGGCAGACGGTAGCGGCGCGGCCTCTGCCGGCGGAAGTGCCACCCACTGCAGACTTTCGGCGTGGGCCGCCCCCGCCCCCGCCCTACCCTGCAGGCCGAGGGTGGGGGAGGGCGCCGGCCCAGGTCCGTCTGTCAGACTCAGTGAGCTACAACAGTAGACTGATGGGCTCAGTGAGCTACCATGAGCCACGCCGCCGCCGCTGCCAGTCAGCCACTGCTAGCTGGGCCGCCACAGCGGACCGACAGCTGGGTAGGGAGCCCAGCCAGCCGCAGTCGGTCGCTGAAGTGATTGATTGAGACACCAGGCGGAAACCGCGGCCGGCCCAAAACGGGACGGACCCTGCAGTGAATCGGTCGGCGGCGACATGTCACTGAGTCGGCTGGAATAAATCCGCCGCAGCGCGGCTGCCAGCAGTTCCAGCCCTGGCCTGTGCTCGCAGATATTTCCTCGTAATAGGAAGCAAAACCTAGCGCAGCCCATACCAATCACAAAAAGAACTCTGGGTGCATCACATGGCCTTTCCAAGGCGCGCGGACGTCCCGGCTGTGCGTTGCGTCAGGCCGCCGCCGCTGGACGGGGGAGCTGTGGGCGCCGGCGTGCGTCACAGTTCCTGTTGTGCCCGCCGAGACGACCCGGCCCGGGCCGCGGTCCGGACGGAGGCGATACGCGCTATCCGCCGGCCGCGTCCGGCGGCGTCACCCGGCGTCACGGCGCGGTCCCAGCCACGGGGCTGAGGGCAGTCCCGGGACCGAGGTCAGTGGGTTCTCAGTCCCGGGCTCTGAGGCCAGTGGGTTCTCAGTCCCGGGGCTGAGGTCAGCAGGTTTTCAGTCCCGGGCTCTGAGGTCAGTGGGTTCTCAGTCCCGGGCTCTGAGGTCAGTGGGTTCTCAGTCCCGGGCTATGAGGTCAGTGGGTTCTCAGTCCCGGGCTCTGAGGGCAGTGGGGTATCAGTCCCGGTAGCTCTCAGTCCCGGTAGCCGGCGGGGGCCGCAGCTAGCCTCTCTGCAGCTCACGCACAAGTCTGGCGGTCGACTCACTGGCGGTCAGCTCACGCACACAAATCTGGCGGTCGACTCACTGGCGGTCAGCTCACTCACACAAGTCTGGCGGTCGACTCACTGGCGGTCAGCTCACTCACACAAGTCTGGCGGTCGACTCACTGGCGGTCAGCTCACTCACACAAGTCTGGCGGTCGACTCACTGGCGGTCAGCTCACTCACACAAGTCTGGCGGTCAGCTCACTCACACAAGTCTGGCGGTCGACTCACTGGCGGTCAGCTCACTCACACAAGTCTGGCGGTCGACTCACTGGCGGTCAGCTCACTCACACAAGTCTGGCGGTCGACTCACTGGCGGTCAGCTCACGCACACAAGTCTGGCGGTCGACTCACTGGCGGTCAGCTCGCGCACACAAGTCTGGCGGTCGACTCACTGGCGGTCAGCTCACGCACACAAGTCTGGCGGTCGACTCACTGGCGGTCAGCTCACGCACACAAGTCTGGCGGTCGACTCACTGGCGGTCAGCTCACGCACACACGTCTGGCGGTCGACTCACTGGCGGTCAGCTCACGCACACACGTCTGGCGGTCGACTCACTGGCGGTCAGCTCACGCACACAAGTCTGGCGGTCGACTCACTGGCGGTCAGCTCACGCACACAAGTCTGGCGGTCGACTCACTGGCGGTCAGCTCACGCACACACGTCTGGCGGTCGACTCACGGCAGCGTATCGTGACGAATGGGAGTTCCGTCGTCTCGATGGATGCATCATACAATTAACTGAATTGATATCTGGTAGCTTCTCGGGACTGCAATATACATAATGTATATTTATGTACCTACCTACAAAGGTGTATAGATCACCCAGTCCATTATAAAGGCCCGGAAGGATATGCTCTCGCGTATGAGAGCGTGCCCCGGCTGTGTTCGTGTTCTGGGCTTGGATCGACTCGCACTGTGTGGGTTATTGAGCTGCTCGCGGCTGTGTGAGAGGTTGAGCCACTCACGGCCCGCGGTACACGCTCGATGTGAGAGGTTGAGCCGCTCACGGCCCGCGGTACTCGCTCGATGTGAGAGGTTGAGCCGCTCACGGCCCGCGGTACTCGCTCGATGTGAGAGGTTGAGCCGCCGCGGCCCGCGGTACCCGCTCGGCCCTCGGGAAGACGGTGGTGAGATCATCTGGCCGCTGGGGGCCGCCGAACGCCTCCCCAGTGATGCACGGCTTCACAGAACGCAGCGCCGGCCGCCTTCTCGGCACTGCCCCGCTTCCGGCACGGTGATGTGGACGGGCTGGTGTAAAGTGTAATTTACCGGCGGTGGCGGCGGCGGCGGCGCGGGTCGCCGGACGGAGGCGGTGGCGGCGGCGCGGATCGCCGGACCGGTCGCTCTCCCTCTCTGCGCCCCGCCCTCCATCCAACAGTGGCACATAAATCAGTGCACGCTTTAGCTGCAAGTCAGCAGCCGCTGCCGACAGTTGTTCCATCCGCGCTTCTCAGAGGCGCGCCAAGAAAAAACGCGCGCCGGCCGGTGGCGGGGCGCGCGCGCGCTTTATTCCCCGGCACACATCATTAGGTGCTACCGAAAAATGCGTGAATTATCGGCGGGGCCGGCCGAAAAACAATCGTGGTGGGCGTCCATGTCCGATTGGGGGGCGTGTCGGCGGGCTGGGGGGGGGGGGGGGCGCCGACCGGGCAGGGCCGCGCGCGCCCACCGGCGCCGTGCGTACCATTCACATGCAAATGCGCCGGCAATTACGGGCCGGCGCGGCGCGGTCACCTGGCCGGCTCGTTAATCTAGTCGTAATGGCGGTAATGGGCGCCGGACGCACCGGGTGCCCGTCCGTCCGCTGTATCGGTCCGTCCGCTGTATCTGTCTGTCCGCTGTATCGGTCTGTCCGCTGTATCGGTCTCCGGGTGCCGTGCTGTCCTCTGTATCTGTCTGTCCGCTGTATCTGTCTCCGGGCGCCTCGCTGGCTGCTGTATCTGTCCGTCCGCTGTATCTGTCTGTCCGCTGTATCTGTCTGTCCGCTGTATCTGTCTGTCCGCTGTATCTGTCTGTCCGCTGTATCGGTCTGCCCGCTGTATGCGTCACCAGCCCGCCGGGCTGACCTGTTGACGTCATCCGGCGCTGATGTGACCCAGCTGCTGTCAGCGTCACGACAGAAGCGTAGCTGGGAGCTGGTGATAGGCACTGACCACCAGGCACCTTGTCGTGCGGCGTTAATTGGTAAATCATTCCGTAATCCATTGCATAACCTTTGACGCTGGTATGGCGCATTCTCACAGGAGATGAAAGCAACACCGTCTGCCCGGCGCTCAAAGGAGCCTCCACCGTCTTCCCAGTTGCCCATTGGTCCTTCACGATCTTTCCCATGTTCTGGTGATCCTATACGACTTACCAGACAGTCCAATGATCTTCCATGATTTTACCTCCAATAGCTCAGTGATCCGTCATCTGCCATTTTCTCTGGAATTGAGCTCACTCCTCTCGTTCCATTATCCGGCCCAGTCGATTTTATCACTCTGTGTTCCGGTTGGACCGGGAGGTACTTAGGCATTACCAACAGCGACCGGGTCCATTTCTCACCGTCCGCTCGCCGTGGGAACTCGCGCACATAATGACACCCGTAAATCACCCATCGACAATTGTCCTCCCATCAGCCGCCGGGCGACGGGCCGACGGAGCCACCGATGGGATGGCGTCTCGGCCGGCCCGGCCCGGCCGACAGCAGTGCGCTGGGCGCGGCGCTGACCGTGTCCTTCCTCTGTCCGTTGCAGATGGCCGCGACTGACGGTGTGATATTGGGTGTACCATTGACGCAGAGGCGGCGCCAGGCGACTGCGGAGGGCGGCACCGGCCCCCCACCAGGGGCGGCGGCAGGCGGCAGTGGGGTCGCACCGCCGGGCGGCAGACGGCAGGCGCCGCGGACCGTGCAATAGCCGCGCCTGGCCGCCGCCCGCCGCGGCGGTGACCTGGGACCGGTCGCCAGTGACCTGTAACTGCAGTGACCTGGGCGCCGCCGCCCCTCACTATGAGCCGGTCCGCCCCCGGCCTGTACCTATGTATGTATTGAGTGGCTGGCGCCATGTGTTCAGACAGTGCAGTGTAATTCATTATGTACCGACATGTCTCCTAATATATGTGTATGATGTAGAGAAGGACGCGTTTGGCACTGCTGGTCATCGAGCGGCGGAATACGTCGGACAAAAGACGTGTGGTGAGCCCCACTCTAGACGGGTTTACACGACTTACGTGCTGTTGCAGCTGATTGGTCAATCTCAGTGGATCGTCGGATCGCGGAGAACCATATATCAGCAAAGTAAAGTGAGCATCACGCTGAAACAAATCGGGCGATGTTCTGCAAGTTGTGATATATACGGGGAAACTAGCTACACCCACATACCCAGAGCACCTGGCGCTAGTCGCCGAGTGCCGAGCGCCGGGCTGGGCCGCGGCACACACACACAGGAAGCGCTCACATAGAGAAAACGCCGGAGCCGGGCTGTGCGGCTGGCAGTTGTGCTACAACAGGCGGCCGGGCCTTCCTCAATGACGCCAGCGGGGTGCACGAACACACTCGCCGGAGCCGGCCGAGCCACTGTCCATCAGAGACTCATTTCGCGCCGAAACCCATATTTTAGGCAGATTGTGACAGCCGTTTACGGGTGTGGGCCAGCTCCCGCCGTCGGCCTTATAACGGAGGATTGGCGCCCCGATTCACGCGTTATGTGCCGATTATCCCGCGCTAGAGCGTGCACTTACCAGCGGGAGCAGCCGGGTTGAACGGTGCGAAACGCAATAGGGTCTGGTCACTTCCCTGAGGCACAACGTTCTGAAGGTTTCATTTCAAACGTAATCGGGTAACATATGCAGAAGTGGGGATACCCGCCGCCGTTCCCCTTAATGACTGTGCTCAGTCCGTCAGTGCTTTTCGTGATGCCGTTTATTTCAGTGCAACTAAACGCACAACTAAACCCCTGGTGATGTCGCTGCATATTCATTATGTCATAAGAGTTTCAAAAGAAAATTATAACCTGAGTAGAATTACAGCCAGTGACGTCATACGTCTATGTCATATACACATTTCGCCCACATGTAATCCTGCCTGGAAAGCTCAGATAATTGCTCATAGCTGCTGCAGGCTGCAGAATGACATTTCAAAAATAAAAAGTTCCCTTGGTATGTTGGTGATAGTTGTCGCTGATCGAAGAATATCTAATCGGATTAAGAGATTATGAGCAAATTTTGTGCCTTCCGGTATTCGCAGTACTAAAAGAGCTTAGCACAAGTACATTTATCAATGCTGCCTTCCGATTTTTACATCAGTTGATGAGACCACTGGCTGAAAAGCATGAAGCATATATCCTCTAAAATCATTATATGGACACTGGACAGCGGATGAACATGGTGGCGTCCCGTGCCCCTGCTGACTCCTTCCGTGTGACCCCCTCCCCCCCTGGTGGCAGTGATGACGCCCCGTGACCCCCGGCGGCGGCGGCGGATGACGCTGTGCTGGCCGCGCGCACACCTGACTGATGACGATGTCAGCAGCGCCCACTTATCCTATACATCACACGCCGCCGGGACGACCCGTCAAATTAGCCGGCAGAGCGACAGCCGAGCGCCGGGACAGAGAGCCACGGGCGAGCACCGGGCGAGTGAGGTAGCAGCGGGAGAACACCGGGCGAACACCGGGCGAGTGGGCACCGGGGGAGTTTGACGAGCAGTGGACGAGCACCGGGCGAGTGAGGGCGAGCACCGGGAGAACACTGGGAGAACACCGGGCGAGCGGGCACCGGGGGAGTTTGCCGAGCAGTGGACGAGCACGCGGGCAGGAGTGGAGTGGACGAACTGTAGAAACGGGCGGTAAACCAGCACTACCGACTTGCCTCTGAATGTCTCAGTGGAGCCGTGCTGGATGAGTTCGGACAGGGTGTTCCATGGCAGGTGGACGGATGGACGGCGTGCAACATGCCCCACACAGGCGGTGGGGGGGGGGGGGGGGGCGGACGGGCAGTGAACGGTTGTGGACGGGCAGTTCACGCTAGGTGGGCAGACAGTGGACAGGCCGCCGTGGACGGGCGGTGGACGGACGGTGGACGGGCGGTGGACTGGCGGTGGACGGACGGTTGACGTTAGGTGGACAGGCAGTGGACAGGCAGTGGACGGGCGGTGGACGGGCACTGGACAGGCGGTGGACAGACAGTGGACAGTGAACGGGCGAAGAACGGTCAGCGGACAAACGGTGGACGGACAGTGAACGGGCGAAGAACGGTCAGCGGACTAACAGTGACCGGACAGTGGACGGGCGGCTGACGGTTGGTGGACGGGCGGTGGACGGTTGTGGACGGGCGGCTGACGGCCGCCGGTGTGGAGCGGGTCCGGTTCGGCAGGAGGCGGGTATTTACCGGTGACCGGCGGCAGTTCCGGGCCCCGGCACACCGCGGCGCAGCGCAGGAGCGGCCACAATAGTAGCGCGGTGACCACTGTGCACTGTGCAGCCGCTCGCACTGTGCACCTTGCAGCCACTGACACTGTGCGCCGTGCAGCCGCTCGCACTGTGCACTGTGCTGCACGGCGGCGCGGCGGCGGAGCGCGGTCCTCGGGACACAGCGGTGCCAGGGGGAACAGCGCCGGCAATATGTCATGCAATTAATGAAATAACATAACATAACATATATTTCCATGCAACAACAGGCCACATGGGCCCAACAAGGTTACATGCACATGTAAATCAATGCACATAAACTCACATGAATCAGACGTATCTCACATACATCGATAAACAATCTCCTTTCACTACATTACATAAATATCCCGACACGAATAAAAAAGAAGAAAAAAAGAAAAAAAGTTTTAGGGTGAATAGGTCAAAAACGCCCCCATTAAGCGCGAAACCTTCTGACACTCAACCGAACACAGATTACTCAAACCTTTGGGCACCATCATGTAGCTCATTCTTTTTACTACGCTTTGAGACCAAGAAAAGACACCTGCGTGTGGTATTTAACCCCCCAAAAAGGTTTTCGCATACCCTTACAAAAGGGCGTTTTGCCCCACACCCTGGGTAATACGCCCACACCCATGTGCAAAGCGCCCCCACCCCATCCTGCAGCAACAGAACATGATGAACATGGCAGAACTTGACGTCATTCTGACGTCATTTGTGGTCAACCTATCATAGCCTTTGGAATAAAATTTTGTTGCAATGTGTAAAATAGATGCCCGGAGGAGTCCTGAAAGTTTGGTGACGATATCTGCAGTCGTTTAGGATATATCAGCAAAAAAGGACAGGGAGAGGCCTTTTCGGCACCCACCTACAAGGCGCTACCCTGCACTCTCACCACCGTGCAAAACGCCCCCCTTTCAGAAAACTGGGGGCGTCTTGCCCCATGCATCGAGTAGGCGTCTTTCCCCATCCGCTCCATTTCCGGTCAACAAATTATTGACAAAAAACGCGCCACTAACGCCGCAGCATAATAAATTCAACAGAATGACAATAAAACGCAGTTTTTAGTGATGTACACAATAGCAAGTTTTGTGATATAAAGAGGGCATCAAAATATTAGGAATCTTCTGTAAAAACAACAAAAACAACACCCAAAACCAACATCAGCATCTACCCACGCTGCTCCTCAAGACGTAGAACCGGAAATAGAGACCTACGTAAACAAGCAGCTGACTGTTCTGAAAGACAGGATAAAACACCTATCCGTCGATAAGAAATACGATTTTTTTAGGGGAGGCGTTTAACCCAGGGGTGCGTTTTCCCCACAGTTACCCTAGATTTCATTTCAAGTGTCAAAAACTAGACCACTTTCTGCAAAGAATAAATCAATTCCATTCTTGAATTGCTGGATGGAGGAACTATCGATAACCAAAGATGGTAAGCCATTCCAAATATCTACGACCCTACTGGTGAAAAAAGACTGCGCGTTCTTGTATACTTCTTTTTCAGTTTACATTTATGCCCCCTCGTAGAATGCGAATTTATTGTAAACATATTCTGAAAGTCAAGTTTGTCAATACCCTTGTAAATCTTGAACAGTTCGATTAAATCTCCTCTTACTCTCCGGTAATTTAGCGAGAACATGTTAAGTGACACAAGTCGATCTTTGTAACTCATTTGAGCTAAGCCCCGCACCATCCTAGTTGCCTTTCTCTGAACCTCTCGCATTTCTCTGAAATGCGAGAGGTAATGTCCAATATTTGTATGCTTTACGATGGCATTCATGGTATTATAGGTACCCACCCTTTAAAAAGCGCGCAACGTTCTTCGAGGCGGCAAAATTGTATAAAATCATCACCACTTTCATGTTCACTAGTAAAACACCGTCGTCCGTCATCGTCATTTTATCAGCTTCTGTAATATCTGTCGAATAATAATAATACTCGTAATTGCATGGCAGTAGCTTCATCATACCTCCTTTGCGAACATCGCGGGCAGAAGACGGCTGCTAAACCTACATCAAGCATAGAAATGAACGATTCAGCTCTTCGCCCCCTCCCCCTCTCCCTGTCTCTCCCACCGCCCAGACTGACAATTCTTTACCGAACCGGAGCAGTGGGTAAACACAACTGGCGCTGGGCGTCAGCGCCGGATCTCAGGCGGTTCCGGTCGCCGCCGGCCGCTGCTCTCAGCGCCACCCCCAAGTGAGCCGTCCGCCCGGGCCGGGCCGCGCGCGGCCAGATGTGGCCCAAATCACTCCGGCCCACAGAGCATGTTCAGAAGTCAGAGCCCAGACACGGGCTCAGTTGGTCTGATAGGAGGCGCGGGCGCTCCTCATGCTGTTCCCAGGCGGCCATATTACCTCCTCTGACAGAGCACAGAGACGAACAGAGGGCTGCGCCTGACAACACGCCGCACCTAGTGGTTCGAGTCTCAGATAGGTATAACGGGAGTCATTGGAAACTGCCGATTAGAAGCCTCCAGGCTCCGCCTTTTAGCAGGGGCGTCGCCACAGCTCCTCAACTTGTACGGACACATTCCGTCAGCCGCCATGCAGCCCCTCAGACCTCAACATAATTTGCCCCTTCCCCAGCGGGGCGCTAGCGATGTTGCTCATATTGTTGCAGCATTTTATGTAATTTTAACCCCCGCGCGTATTCGTGTTTTGCCAGCGTCTACCGTATAGGCGGGGGTCTGTTGGACCCCCCT